TGTAACTCTGTGCATTTTTAATCACAAGATATTACCATTTTAAAATTTGTGTTCAGGTGATGCAATACTTTTGAGCGCCACTGTATGGTGTTTCAATAATCCTATATGTCCTGGTCTAGAATTATTATTTAAAGATAACGGCAAAGTAATTTCGGCTAAGTTTGAATTATTGATTTGTAATTCACTTTCTTGAATATTATTGATTGCGGAACTAACTGGATTTTCTGTAGAATGCCAAAGACGAAGTTTTAATCCAAGAGGGAAACAACAGTTACAAGGAGGTTTATTGTTATAGGATTTTCCTTTATCAAGGCTCATAAAAAATTATCTAATTTCTTTTATTTAGATTCTGGCAGAAGGCACCATATGTTAATAGCAGTTCTTTGATGTTTATGGGTTATAAACGGAGTTTTAAGGTAAGCAGAAGGTATCGTGTTTATTTTTTTTACTACCTTAATTAATAATAATCGGAATTTCTAATCTAATACAACATAGATATCGAATTGCCTGCAATGTCGATGCTCTATACAATCAGGTATGTTTATTAATTATATCTTTCGGAGTTATTACAATAAAAATGTAAAAAGAAATAATAACGATGCGATGTTTTCGTGTTTAGGACTTTTCAACGATTGGATGAACTGTTTATTATTGTGGGTATTTAATTCTTTGTTTTTATTGTGTTCAAAAAAACTATTAAGAAACTATCTTTTTATTAAAGGAAATTCCGCCACTTATATACTAAATTTCTAACAGGACAATTATGGGCAGTGAACAATAATGTCCAACGAACATTAATGGCCAGTGATAATAATAGTAATAAAATAATAAGCAATACATATATAGAAACGCTAATAATAAATGCTAAAAATAAAATAAAAAGAAAAATAATAACAAATGCTAATAAACTAAAAAAATAAAATAAAGAAGAAACTAATAATAAATGTTTATTTAATAAAATAAATATGTCTTTTGATACAAGTAATACATATAATTATTAAATGTAACAATACGTATGTTTCGCACAAGAAATTAATGTCATTGCGCTATTTTTTTTTATTCAACAAAGGATCTGGGTACAATAGTGATATTCTGCTCGTCACGTAATGAAAAAAAATCACTTTGATAGATCGCTATATTTGGTTAATCTCTTCCACAATTTTTGCTATTAAATTTTGGTTATTTTTGAAAGATCTATTGTAAAATTAGCTCAATACAGAATTCATTGTATTACTGGATTATTTTGAATAAATAAAAAGGGTATTGCTAGAGCAATTCATTGTAATTTGTGTATTGGTCCTGGTAAAAGTATTTTTTTTTGGATACAAAATATAGTTTATCAAGATTTATATTTAAGGAGCAAAAATTTACTGCCTTTTTTTTTAAAAAAAAGAATATAACTTTATAAAACCTGATTTTCTTATCCTCCCGTTTTTTACACAAAATGATTTTATTAAATCCATTCAAAATGTCATCCACAATGTTTAGAAAATGGTCTTCGAGTTTCTTACTATCCTGCTTATTGGTTAATTGATTTTGGTGTAAAGTTTCAGTGAGGTTTTTTAGGAGAAGCATGATAAATTACAAAACTTTATTCGCTTGCCTTCCTAATGAATCAAAATCGGAACTATCTGTTAAAGGATTGGAATCAACTTCCTAACAACCTCAATTATTTAATTATGTTGAATTCGTCAAAAAACTTTTGTTTATGGGACATTCTAAATTTTCACGTAAACAAAGATTGATTTCTGTCGAAAACACAAAAAATATTTTCTCGAATATTTTCGTTATAAAGGAATTTGAAATAATTTATCGCCCAGGCTCCAAAACTTCCAAGCAACTTGATTATCACAATAAATTAGCGAGAATTTTAAAGGATTCGATTCAGAAAGCAAAACATTTAAACTATCTTAAACAAATGAAATATCAAAAGGCTTTCTCACTATATTTACGATCAATATCATTGGAATTCATAATAATAGAATTCAAACCAAACTTTCAAATAGATTCCTCAGAACATTGAAAGTGATAAATGGTTTGTTCCAAATACTTCAATGGATTATAATTCAACTTGAATTTTTTTTAGAAAAATTGAATTTCCCGTGTATAGCGATAGAGTTTGTACTCCAAGAAACGAAAGGGAGAAAAAGTCGGACTAATGGAATAATTTTCACATTTGGGATGGCTTGGCTTTCTTCGGAATTATACACGGTATGCTTTTTTTATATTATAATTTAGTTTTAATTTTCATTTATTTCTATTATTTAGTTTTGATCACTTTGTACCATAGCAATCGAATATAACTTTGCCTTTAGATCACATCAGTTATATTAATAATGCACTGCGGTTTTAATTTATAAAGACCGATCGGAAGAACCGTACGTCTTGTAATTTCGTCTTTTAAAATAAAAATATTTATAATATATCACAACAATAAATTAAAATGAGAATTTTTTCCTGAAATGATATAGTCCAACATCGAAAATAATATATTTTACAATTTTTTCATTTCATTTTCATTTTATTTTATTTTTTTTCACTTCGAGTAAAAAAATTCCATATTGCTGATCATCCGTTACTGCGTCTCCCTCTTCTGATATTAGATTATCTTCAAAACTATTTAAAGTTTCATTTCAAAGCTTCATTTCAACAAAAATATCATAAGGAATAGTTTCAGCTTCATTTTCTTCAACTGTTATCAAAGAAGAACGGCTTTCATCATTATATTTTATATTACCTTTAAAACCTTAATTATTAAACAAATAATGATCAGTCTTTTTGAGACCGCGGTTTTTAAAAAAAGACCAAAGTTATACAAAAAAACTGCCGGTATTTTGATTTTATACACATGAACAGAACACTGAAGAGGACTGCGGTTATTTAAGTCTGGTCTTTTATAATATAAGACCGAAAAGACTAGAAATCCTTGAGACCAATTATCTCTTCTTTTACTCATGCCTCAGTTTTTATGACATAATAACCATTAATCACGTGTCGTGATCATAACTCGAGACAAGAATTTAATGGTATCATAAACATTCTAAAAAATACGTATTTATTAAAAAAATCTGAATACAAAATAATTTAAAAATATATACTTTACATAACCATCTAATATATCTGATATATTTTAAAATTAATACTACGATTATTGTTATTTAACAATATAAATAACCGGTAAAGATTGTCTGTAACCTCAATGTAGAAATAATCATTCCATAATAATATTTTAACGTTAAAATAGGTTATTAGTGATTTCCTTAACCATTATGTAATATGAGTAAATAATTTATAAACTTTCTCGTGAGCAAATAAAAATAATAGCGGAAATATCCAAACCTTCAATAATTGACATCTAAAATTATATATAAAGTCGGTATTAGTTTATATTTAAATATTTAAATATTTCATTAAATTTCCTTTTAATTGTAATGAGCTAGAAATTTCTAATTCATGTAATTGAGAATCTTTGAATTTTAAAATGGATTAAAGTTAGTATTTTATATTTTATTATCGAAAATAAAATTTAGATAATACCTTCATTATTTTCATCCTTTTCAAGATATGAAGTAATTAGAGACGAATTAATGGGTTTTGTCAAATTTTTAAATGCAAATGCTCTACTTGTATATACAGCATCAGGATTAGTTGTACGTGAAATTAAAATATTTGGTATATCTTTATCAGCTTGTTCAAATGCTTCTTTTAATTCTTTTTCATAATATCCATATTTTTTTAATATATTTATGCGTTTCAACACTAAATCTAATGGAATTATCCCAAAAAATTATTATTTCATTTAATTCAATTACAGTTCGTCTTAGTTTTGGATTTGCATTCATGCACTTATTAGCCAATTCCTTATAAAATTCAGGACGAAGTCCATTACAAATATCTAGGGCTAAAGACACATAATGTTTTCTATCATAAAAGGGAGGGTTTACAGTTGATAATTCAGCCATAATTACACCAAAACTGTAGATATCAGAAGTTAAGGTATATGGTTCTCCATTCAAGACTTCTGGAGCGATATATGGTAATACTCCATATATTTTGTCATTCGATTTTTGCTTATCTGCTGGTCCTGTTAATCCAAAATCTGAAACGTAAGAAAATCCTTCATCTTGCAATATATTTCCACTATAAAAATCCTTATGACAATATCCTAAATTTTGTAATTTAGTAAGTTCACTAATAATATAATATAAATTTTGAATTTTCTTTCCATAAAATATTGTTAAAATTATTTGAAAGAAAACTTCTCAAATTTCCAATAGGAAAAAATCTTAGGATCATAATAAATTCTTTGGTTACTGGATCTTTAGTTATTCCGTAAAAGTCATAAGATATTCCATAATTATAATTTTTACTTAATTCCCAATGTGCTTTAAAGCTAGTTTTTTTACAATAAATATTTAATAAAATTAGAAATATTCTAGTTAATTAATATCAATGTAAATTAAAATACCTCATTGAAATAATTGGCTGACATATTTTGTGATCCATTTAACTTTATCAAAGCAACCTTTATAGGTTCAGGATCTAATTTTTTCCAACTTCCATCAATTTGTTCTCTAAATTTCGATATACCATCGATCCATGTTGCAGAATACACTTTGGCGAATCCTCCTTCACCAATTTCTTTCATATCTGTGAATCTATCAAAAGACACCCATTCAAGAAATCGGCCATTAACATAATGTCTTGCATCATATATAGTACCTTTGATGAATTTATCAATATCAGAATTACCACTAGTCCATCCTTCAATTGAACACCGAGGAACACATTTTTTACACTATTCTTTATAACAATTACAACATAGATTAGTTTCTGAGACATTTATTTTGTTGAATTTAGATTCTATTAAATCTTGAACTTCATTTTCATGGCTATTTACATCCATTATTTTTTTTTTTTAATAAAAGTACGAACAAAATCAAATGATTAATTTTGCAATCTTAATCTTAATAATTTAGTCATAAATTTAATTATTTAATTACCGAAACTCTTTTAAAACGTGTGTTGTTCTCTGCCCTAGCTTTCCTTCCATAACTAATTTTTTTTCAAATAATTCTTATGATCGAAAAATAGTAGTTAGTCAAAAGTATAAATAATCGAGACTTTTAATATAATTTCCTAATTTGGTTTCAAATACAAAAAAATACTTTCTCTTTTTTTTTTTAAGTACAAGGTAGAACAAAATATCACCGCAGTAAGGTCTATCTATTGAATTAGATGAACTGGTTAAGACGTTTATCTTTTTAACCGGTTAAAGATTTTTTTCAACCGATTAAATAACTAATGTTAACTCTGGCCGAAATTTAATTTTCGGGCAGAAATAAAATTTTTTAGCAATTACAAAATTTGCTAGTTTTGCCCAAATTTATAGTGCCGGCCTGAGTTAAATTTAACCGGTTAATTAAACGGTTAAAGAAATTTTTAAACGGTTAAGGATTTTTAACCATTGAAGCAATTGAAACGCCGCCGACTTGTTCAAAATTCCGGGATTCAACTCCGCTGCAACTTAGACAATCAACCTTTTTGACTTTTTGACTAAAGTACTATTATTTCTTTTTGAACTGAATAGATAAAAATAAAATAAAAATACTTTAAAAATTAAACTTTTGATAATAAATAATTATAAAACTTTAATAAAATATGAAAATGTAATGTTAATGGTTGTAGATTTCCTAGTCACCAGAACTTGCTATGGCTATCAAATTAGCATCAAATACTTGATAATTATTTCGTTACAGATGCTTCAATTTTAGACTCTTCTGCAATGACTAAAATTAAAGTCCGTATCATTCGAAATACTGATGAAATAATTTCAATAGAATTATTTCGACTGAATGATGCATAATTGATTTTCATCAAATGAAATCCACTTTGATCGATCCATGAGAAATTTGAATCTCAAAATATATTTTCCCAAAAACATTTCTTGATAAATATGTTCTATAACAATGGCGATCGTATTAAATGAATTAACGCTTTGTTAAATTGCATTTGAACATGGAAGAATCAGTATTTTCTGATGCAGCATCCTTTTTTCTTTGCTCGTATTTCTCCTCACTTAACGGTTGATCTGATATTTTATCTAGTATCATTATCAAATATTAGCATAAAATACTATAAAGAAATTAATAAAAAGAATTACGTATATTTGTATAGATTTTTTTGATCTCGTATTTTCGAATTACAATAATTTGATCTATTTGTAATCTAAGATAATATATCACATGTATACTTCGTGAAAAATTTCTAAAAATAAAAATGATAAAATAAAATAAACATCGAAAAGCATCCCGTTTCTAAAAAAAACTTAAAATAACTTTAAATGTCGTGTTCTTAACTTCCTACTTACAAAAGAAACACGTAATGAAAGTTTACATCATTTCATTATTTTCACGTAAGAATAATTCCCATATATTATAGTCAATTTAGTCCTATAAATACTTGCACCATTTTTTTCATATTAGCTATAAAACACGAGGAATAGAATTTCATCTTTTTAGATCGACAAATTCCGGAAATCAATGAGCAATTGGGTGGTATGCTATTAAAATTGAGGTACTGATCATAATATTTACTATGTTTCGTACCTTAATTTTAATAGCATACCACCCAATTATTCTCAAAATATCTAAAGACAACCCTTTAGCTATTAATATCAATTAATATATGAACATTTTAAGCAACTTCACTTATAATTTATGAAATTTTATGTAAACTCTTTATTCTTACTTAGGAATCCTGCAAAAATAAATGAAATAACAACCGTGCAATCACATCCTCGATATTAAATTTTAAGGATCAATAATTTCTCATTGACTTAAATGACTCTGCCCTTACAAAACTATCAACTTTGAGAATTCCGAAGTATACAATACATTCTTTTAAAATTAGAATATATTAATTTAAATTTGATATATTGGATTGGCATATAAATTACATAAATAAATAAACAAGTTATGGTTCAATTTCAGACTTGATATTTTGGATATAAATAAAAAAATTCTAAAATGCTTTACTAATATATGGGAGGTTTGCTAGGAAGATGAAGATTTGAGCATTTTTATTAAAATTTTAATTTTTTATTGCATTTTAATTTTGATAATATTAGATTAAAATGCAATAAAAATTAAAATTTTAATAAAAAATGCTCAGAGCCCCACTTTCCTAGCAAACCTCCCATATCTTATCATTAAGAAATTTGATGATCAATTGATAAGTTATATATTATACCATCATTTTTATTGAAAAATATAATACCATAATCTTTGAAGAGCATTTCTAAGCTCTTGATTTCCAATATTATTAAGAAATATTTGATAATATATCTGAAAGCTTCGTTGACGGCATTACCAAAACTAGTCTTTTGCATAATATTTTGGCGTCAGTTTTCGGATATTGTAACCATTTTTGTAACTTATCTTTAATATTGAAGTATTTATAAAGAACGTCGTGAAAAACATTGATATTTTCTCAATTTTAAATTCTATACATTTGATAAAAATGTGGGATGTTTTCGTAGATAGGAATATTGTGAAAATTCATGATTCACTAATCTAGAAAAGTATTTGAATTCCAACGTTAGACGAAAATCATTATCAGTCAGTTAACACTATGATGACCAAAAAGACATTAAATTTACAGAAATCATTGAAAAATTATATTGCTCATTTGAAAAATAATATGAAATAGATATTGAAAAATAATAAAATCCTTGCGAAAGAATATAGATGTTTAAATGAAATTATTGAGTCGAAAATTCTTTGTTAAGCTATTTTAACGCAAAATTTAGATCAATTACAAAATTTTCCTTTAGATTATCTGCACTTGAATTAAATTTTGATACACGGAATAATCGAAAAAGTTGCGTTAGTAATGACAAATTCATTGATGTGGCGGCAAAAATATACGAAACAAATTTATTCTTAATAGTTATGCTAGCTGTGAACTTAATAAAATGATGAATCAATATCGAAAACGTATATTTATTTATTATTTTCCTTTCATTGGGCGAAATTTGGCGTCTATAAATACAAAATTATTAACGGCTGCAAAATAATTTTCACGAGAGTTAAAATTAGTTCAAATGAGTTGACGATGAAGCATAGTAAAATAACATGATTTTAAGAATTTATTTATTTCAAATTTTAGGAATGGATTTTGAATTACATAAAATTATAACTTTACTTATTGTACTGTCCATTTTTACCAAATGCCAATATTAAAGTAGTGACCTCTTCATCGCATGATCATCACAGTAATATATTTTAATTATCGTAGTGTTTTGTAACACTAAATTCTCCATTGATTTTAACTTCATCAGCTCTCTTTTCTAAATATTTATTTAAAAAAAATCCTTGAAATTGCTGCAATCGGATGGGTAGAGAACGGAAATATTTGACTTGGAAATTCTTCTCTTGTAAACACACTGATTGACTAAATCCCCACCAAAAAAAGTATGTAGTATTTTTCAATTTTTCATCACCTCCAAAGTATTGCAATTTTGAATGCGCATCATATGTAAAATTAATTGTTGATTTAATTTTGTAGAAACTTCCACAAATATCGCCTATATTCTCTGTAACTTCTCCTAATTAATTTCTATCGAGCAATTTAAATCTATTGTGCCACCACCACAATTGACAATTAATGAAGGTTGCTAAAAAAAAAATTTTATTTATAAATTCTCGTGAGATGATAAATTTAGGTCTAGAATGAAAGAACACAATGGGGATATACCAGTGTTTTAAATTATCATCAGTTCTATCGGAATCATGACAATACGTGAATTCCTAACAAAATTAGGATTTTATTTAATTTTAAAACGCAATGAGTAATTTATAAAAAATTATAATTTACCGAATATGTGGTTCCAAAATCTTTTAAATAATAAAATATTGTTGCTTAATCGTATGAAGGTAATAAACGAAATATGAACTATATTTATCATATCTAAACAAACTTCAATGCAAATATCTGACAAATATTTGTTTTGTAAAGAGTTTACCTGATATCAAATATTTATTATATTAAGGAACGTAATGATAGTATTTTTAAATTTTTTTAAATGAATAACTGATTTTGTAACTACCCAATCCGCAAGAATTTAATTATCTTTAATAAACATTATGTAAAACAAATTAATAAAAATTTTATTTTTTTTAAAAAATAAATAATGATTTACATTTGCGCTTATGGAATGGATACTATGGATTGTTGAAAACGCTAACAGTCATAAATATAGTGATTTCTATAGCAATGTAGAATAATTGGCTTATACTAAGATCTTTTCTAAACTCAACTCATCAAAACCACACAAATGGTTTATTGATAACTTTGTAAAGCCAGTTGAATTGGATTATAAATAAGTCATTGCAAATTATTTAAAAACAATTAGGGCGAAGATATTTAAAGAGTGTTAAAACTCAGTAGGATTAATTAGATTATGATATACAGTTGAGGTTGTACTTTCGGTAGTAAAAAAATTAAACTTTATGTTAATGATTAAATTCTTTTTGAATTAGTATTTTTTCTCTCTCTATTTTTAAAGGTTCTTAAGAATAATAATGCAATGAAATTATGTTTAATTTTTCGTTTAATATTCCAACGCAAAATAGTTGAAATTTGAACTTAAATGAAATTTCTGAATGAGAATTATAAAATATACTTGCGTATAATTTGGGCAAAATGAAAAAAGTCGTTCGGAAATCATGTGGCTGATAGTTAAATATCATGTGAACATTAGATTTTCGCTAATGGGTCAATTCGGTCAATACAAATGTTTACAAACTAGAATTAGACAAGAATTTTCTGAAGGCGTGCAAAAGATTCTGTACCTAAGAAATTTATAATGAATTATGAAAGGAGACTATTTAACTCAATTTCGCAAATCAATATCTATATATATTAATTTTTATAATAAAAAAAAAATAACAAATATATTGTGTTATTAAAATAAAACTTCAAAATAGATAGATAATAAATTTTGAAAACTGAGCATAACTTATTTATTTCATCTCAATTGAAAGCACAAAAAACCACATTAGTCAAGTGCAGTAAATGTGACCGTAAAATTACGTAAACATTAAAAATTGCGAGTAATGTATTAATCGATAAAGATCTGTCAATGGGTTCTAGGAGAATCGGTAAAAAGACTAACCTAAGGCTTGATGCCATAATTTTACACTCTTAATCAAAAGGCAGAGGACAAATTACTAGAGAACGTGATGATAAGTGGTCGTATTGGATTATCAAAATCCAAGATCATTTAGATCAATCACTAACCACATTAAGAAAATAATATCTTCGGAATTCTTATTAATTAATAAGGATAAAAATAATATATCCTTTTAGTCATTTAAATATATATCGTAGTATTCATAAAGTATATATATACCTCAAACTCTCTCATAAATTCTCTTAAAATTTCTCAACTTTCTAATTTATAAACACTAAAGAGTCCAGAATATTTGAATGGGTTTATTATTCATTAGAAACTATTCTTCAGCCGTTTAATCATTTCGTCTTGTAATTACCTACTAGTAGTTTAGAATTTGTCTTGATCAGTAAAGTTCAAGTCGTGAGATAGTAAATCAAATGATCTGTAATGTGATACTAGTTGATTGTAAATCGTCAGAAATGAAGTAAACGTTCTTAACTAGAATCACTCCAAATGTTACAGAAAGAATTTCGTTTATTATCGATTATAAATAGACAGAAAGAGACAAAAATTTTTTTCATACTTTCACATGAAAAAATGATGAACATAATGTAAAGAAAAATTAAGTTCCACTGATAGTGCTTATTCGCCTGAACTTTAACAACTAATCTTGATTTTTTTAAATCATCCTAACATTTATTGTGAAGGAGACTTCTTACTCGAGGTTATAGGTGTCTAGATGCTACAAATCTTACGAGAATATACTGTTGCATCCTACTTTAAATACATGGGATAAGTGAAGGAAATATATGGAAAGCGGGAATTTTTTTGAAAATAATCTAGATATTGCCCAGAACCAAACTACTTGAGTTAGAAGAGAAAGGTTACGATTTGCAGAACATCTGCCTGAAGTCAATTTCTAATCTAATTAAAAGAAAATAACAAGACAATCGAAGGTATATGAGAATCTTAGAAAGTTCTAAACAATGGTTATAATAATTATATCCAAATGAAATACAGTCATGCTCAAGTTATTGGTCATATGAAATAAGATAAATTTTGCTTTAGAGTTCTAGACATCAATCGCAAATCAAAGTTCTTTTCGCTAATAGTATATACTGTGTATACTTGACTTAAAACAATTTCTTGTATTATTTGTGATTCCGTCACTTAAATAATTGGCTAATTCATGATATTCACAATATTACCATATTTCTCTACCCAAATAAGATTGGTTCGCCAGACAATATCAAAAAATAAAATTGAAATAAAAATAATTTATAAATTTACAGTAACTATCAAAATATAAACCAGCCTCTTCTATTAAAATCTTTGAAAAATTTCCGAGAAAAGGATAATCAGAGAGGAGAAATATAATATAAAGCGTTATACTTATAGCTAAACTCCTAAAAAGATGAAGTTTATATTATCGTCTGAATAGATGAAAATAATTTGTATACTGTATATAATCATAATTGATTCTTGCCAGAATAGGTTATAAATTTCCAATCGTATGTACTCGCTACTTGGATTTGCTTGATATCAAATAGAACTTGAAAGCTTGCATTAATTCATCAACCAATAAAGTTAAGTCAATTATTTTTAATTTCTTTAAAATATTTGAGATTTTTTTTTTTTGATATTAGAAATGAATTTTTATTATTAAAAAAAAAATGATGCTTCAGCTAAATGACAATACAATAATTGCATACAATAATTGCCGGAGGTAGATCTTGGCAGATTTTGCAAATTTTCGTCGCAGGATGAGAATAGTTCTTTCAGAGATTTCTTTTACTGTATATTAATTTAGTTTATTCTTTGTTATTACATAGATCCGAAAATTTAGTTTTTAATTATTTGACAAATGAATGTTCGAACATCTTTATATTAAATTTTAGTCTATAATAGGGTCTCCATTAAAAATAACGTAAAAAAAAATAAAAATAATATTCATTGATTACTAAAAAAAATGACATTTACTATTACTATTTGCAAAAAAAAATTATAAATGACATGCTTAAACCTTTTACTAATTTTTTGTAATCACAGAATCTAATACCAGCACCGATGTAATCGTGTAAATCTTCAATTAAAAGAAGGGTTTTAACCATATTTATAATAATTTTTATTTGGCGTCAAATTATTTATGCCGAGGAAAATTATGCCCGCCACTTACCTGTTTGCTATTCAAGAACGAAACTAACATGTTCGCAAATTACGCATGGCGCATAAACTTTTAGCAATTATTATTATAAAAATAATATTTTTTGGAGTGAATAATTTCTTTTTAAAAAAAGAGAATTTTCGAATTGCTTATTTTTTTTAAAAAACTCGATTTCCTATGTTTTGAATCATTATGTTATTATTAACTCATGGTAATTGAGCGCGTAAATTTCAATGACGATAAATCTACTTCGTCATATAACAATGACAAAAAAATCGTTATTTTCAAGTCTGTTAAAGTGTTTACTTCTGAAGGCTGTTGATTACAAAGGATTTTTATTGGAGCAATAAAGCCCGCATCATGTGACCACTGTCACAAATAAGATCCTACAGGAAGGAATTGAGTTAGTATTTTGAATATTCAATAGTTTTATTCAAACTATGAAAATTTTGTGAGATTTTTCGGGATAGTTCGATTTTGTTCAAATTTATTTCTTTCAATTGCAGTATATCTTTATTGCATTAATAAACTATAACATACTAAAAATTATGAAATAAAATTACGAGAGAAATGTTTATATCATTGTAACTCAGTAAATAATCCGTATTTTTAAGTTTATTGTGCTTTGACGGCTATATACTGAAGATGCGATATTGAATTTTATTTATTTCAACAAACACGATTTTTAAAATTTAAATGAATTTTTTTTTTTAAATTTGACAAAATATATAGTAAAGAATTCATTTATTTCGTCAATTTTGTCTTGTGATTACATAAAAAACAAAGTTTATTACGAAATTTGATATTTAAAATTACTTAATTTGATATTGTTGTATTAATTAATTTTGGATAAAAATATTAATTTAACAACATATAAATAATGTGAATCGAATGTAGTGATGGATTAATTTTAAATAAAGTATTACTGCTGCGCTTTAAAGCTTTGAGTGAATCGATCGTTGTCGCAAATTGAAATGATTGAAGTTCTCTTTGAGATTGAATAACTTTTATGGACAAACGATTTTTTGATCATAAATTTAATCAGACTAGGTATTAAAATATTTTTTTAGTTTCGTTTTTAATCTTTTTAATCGATTTTAATTTATATTATTTATGATAAAATTATATTTTCTTTTTTGAGGACGGTGAGACAATTTGTTTTTTTTTGTTATTTTTTTTGCTTTTTTAGTTTTATTTTATTTTATTTTTTTTTTTTTTATTAATAGTTCGATTTTTTCGGAAACATTTTAAATTTTTTTAAATATTTCTTTTTATTTTGTTTTATATTGGTTGGATGTATGCAGTGTTCCTATTCATTTAATATTTCGTCTTTTTTTTTTTTTTATAAAAAAAAGAAATTATTATTTATTATTGAGCGATTTTTTTTTTATTTGATCATTCACTTTATTATCATTTTTCTCTCAAGTAAACAAAGAATCGTTTGATTCTCGCTTTATTAAAATAGATTCGACTTTATATTCGATATCGATAGAATCGATTCCAAACCCTAGTTGGGTTCGATAGTTAAATTTATAATAATTCTAGTCTCTTTAGTCGCGATGAATTCAAGGAGGAATACATGAAAATTATTTAATTCTTCTATAAAATCGCAAATATAATACATTTAAATAATAAAAAATTCCTTGTTTATTATATAATCAACTAAATAATGTTATTTTAATTCAATTTCAGATTTTACTGCAGTGAATTTGGTACTATTTTGCATTTAAACATGTATTTATGAAATTGACAGACTAAGGAAATTATTTTTTATTTTTAATTTTATAAGTCTATTTTTGACACTAGACTATAGATCATAAGGATAGTTTATTAAAGCTAGTAGAGAACAAGACATTGTTTAAAACATTCATAATGATATTTGTAGCTAAAGTTAAAGCTTGGCCAAAATTAATAATTACCGCAGTATACGATTATTTGATTTGTTCGGAAAATATTTTCCGTTGATCCAAATTTGGTCATGATAATTCCTTTTATGTCCTTATTTGAAATTACAGAATTTTTTTTTCTTTTTTTTAAAAAAAAAAATAATGGATGTAAATAGCTATGAAAATGAAGTTCAAGACCTAATAGAATCTGAATTCAACAAATTAAATGTTTTAGAAAATTATAAGTGTTCTTATTGTGATAAACCATTTACAGAGCAATTATGGTGTAAAGAATGTGACCCTGGGTGTATAATTGAAGGATGGACTAGTGGAAATTCTGATATTGATAAATTCATCAAAGATACTATGTATAATGCATGACAAGAAGAATATCCAAGATTTCTTGAATGGGTGTTTCTTGATAGATTCACAGATATAAAAGAAATTGGTGAAGGAGGATATGCCAAAGTGTATTCTGCAACATGGATCGATGGTGCATTTATATTTGTAAAACAAGATGATGGAAGTTGGAAAAAATCAGATCCTGAACCTATGAAGGTTGCTTTGAAAAGGTTAAATGGATCACAAAATATGTCAGCCAATTATTTTAATGAGGTATTTTAATTTACATTTAAATATTTAAATTTGATATTTATTAAATAAAATATTTTTATTTAACTTAAAATTTATTACAATAACTAGATTAAAGCACATTGGGATTTTTTTAATGCAGATAAACATATTTATGCATTAGACTTTTACGGAATAACTAAAGATCCAGAAACCAAAGAATTTATTATGATCGTAAAATTTTTACCCGGTGGAAATTTGAGAAGTTGTCTTTCAAATAATTTTAACAATATTTTATGGAAAGAAAAAATTCTAAAATTACGAACCATTACTGAAGACCTAACTAATTTACAAAATTTAGGATATTGTCATAAGGATTTTCATAGTGGAAATATATTGGAAGATGAACAAGTTTCTTATGTTTCAGATTTTGGATTAACAGGACCGGCAGATAAGCAAAATTCGAATGACCAAATATATGGAGTATTACCATATATCGCTCCAGAAGTTTTGAATGGAGAATTATATACCTTAGCTTTTGACATCTACAGTTTTGGTGTAATTATGGCTGAATTATCAACTGGAAACCCTCCCTTTTATGATAGAAAACATGATGTGTCTTTAGCCTTAGATATTTGTAACGGGCTTCGTCCTGAATTTGGAAAAGGAACTCCTGTAATTTATAAGAAATTAGCTTATAGGTGTTTGAATGCAAATCCAAATCAACGACCAACAGCCGATGAATTAGAAAAAATATTGCGTTTTTGGTATTATTCTATTGAATGGTATGAGGATTATAAAGAAATTAAAAAATATGGATATTTTGGAAAAGAAATAAAGGAAGTTTTTGAAGAAGCTGATAAAGATATACCAAATATTTCAATTTCACATAAAACAAATCCTGATGCTGTATATACGAGTAGAGCATTTGCGTTTAAAAATTTGACAAAACCTATTAATTCGTCTCTTATTACTTCATATCTTGATAAGGATGAAAATAATGAAAATAATGAAGGTATTATCTAAATTTTATTTCGATAATAAAAATATAAATACTAACTTTATCATTATAATATTTTAAGATTCTCAATTACATGAATTAGAAATTTCTAGCTCATTACAATTAAAAGGTAATTTAATGAAATATTGATTTATTTAAATATAAACTAATACCGACTTTATATATAATGATAGACATCAATAATTGATATTTCCGGTATTATTGTACATTTAAATATTCGTTAGAAAGTTTATTCTGATTAATTAATTACATCATTATTGGTTAAGGAAATCTATTTTAATGTTATATTATTATGAAGATGATTCTTTTCTACAGATAATCTTTGTTGAAATAACAATTTTCATAGTATTTATTATCTTTAAGGTATATCTTTAGAAATTTTACAATATTTTCAGATACATCAGATGCTTATGTAAGATTTTATATTTTTAAATGATTTATGCTCAATTTTGGTTATCATTTACGTAATTATTAATTGTGATTGAGCAAATATTTAACTGTGAGAACCAATTTCGAGTTATAACATCAATTGGTGATCATTATTGAAACGTAGCTCGATTGACATTCTATATAAAATTATAAAATCAAAAATGCATTTTAATAATACTGAAATGATCCAAAAGCAATTATCACTAAATAAAATGAAAACCAAAACTAAATAAAAAATAAATACATAAAGCTAAAGGATAAAAAGAAAGTTATAATAATTGCTGCAGATTACTTCGATTAAAAAGTAGTTAAAAAAACTTTACACATGCTGCATCTAATTTAACGATTCGTAATATAGAATCGTAACAAAATTCATTATAACGATTTATTATGAGTCATGAATAATCACATTTGGTATTTTATATATTAAGTATTTATTAAATCTGAAGCTAAAAAAAGAAAATTTTATGTAACTTTCGCATATTCGAGATATTTAAAGATTAATTAGGTAAATTTTACCTTATATCAGAAATTTGAAAATGTATGTTTTATAAGAAATATGGGAAAAAAGAAAGATAACTAAGGAAAAAATAAAACTCGTTTGGCAATTGGTGCTAGAGTCGCTAGAGTCTTGTTACCTTAGACATTTATTTCATCTTCTAATTTAAAACTATGAAAAACGGTCTCATTTCAACGTCGACAGGAGGAGGACATAACTAATACATAATTTTGGAACTATTCAAGAAATCATATGGGATGTGGGATTTGTTAACGGATATGAATAATAAAAAAAAATTACAAATGGTTGTTGCAGTCCAATAGAAGCCCTTTGACATTAAATAATCTTTCAGAAAATTCCATAATTGACGCACCATTCTTAAATGAGGATATTATTGTGATTTTATTAAATTAAATGTGATAAATCAAACAAATCAAACTATACTCGATAAATTATACCCGAAGTTTAAGTACTTTGAAATTTTACAACTTCGGGATCATATTCGACTCCATCCCAAAATTTTGCGTATCTTTTACGAGATTGTAAACAATCAAAATTAAGTCTCGTTTTACTAATTGAAATTGAAAATATTTCTTCATTGGTAAAGGATTTTATACTATATTGTTTGCGAATTTAATGTTGATAGCTTTGTTAACCACGATTAAATTATTAATTAAAATGAGAGTTTATTTACCAAATATTTTGCAAATGAAACATTAGCAAATATTTATTTTTCCCAATTCGTCATAAATTGTTATAGTATCCGAATCTGGATAATTCTGTAGGGTTTTTTTATAATGTTTATCTAAGAGATAATATAGAAATAAAAAGCTTTTTGAAAAATATTTTATAAATATTTTTTTTTTTTAGAAATGGAAATTATTTAATCGATGCGTTTTAATATAAGGTTGAAAAAGAAAGGATTAACATCACTTGACAGTTTTATGTAAAAAAAATTCCTTCCAACACCATTCATATGATGGCTATTAACAGATCATAAGTTCGCGAAATTCCATTTCTAGATCCTGGAAAACTCCTAAACAACTGAAAATACATTATTTTTGTTGATATTTTATATCAAGCGGTGACAAATTTGAATCAAAGCTAGGTAAGTAAAAAATATAATAAATTTTTCATGACTTTTATAATCAATAAATAAATATGGTGTAATTATTTTTGAATGAATATACAACAGTAAAATTTGATGGATCGGAATCTTGATGGAACTTGTCGAACATTGATATATAATTTTTAATTTTGACTAAAATATTATATTTATAAAATTTTTTGGTATCAATAAATTCAAATCAGATTTTATCCTTACATTACAGCATGACCAAAAAGTAATATTTGTTAAAAATACATATATATAAACAACTAAATGAAAAAAAAAGAAAGCTAATCATAGTTAAAATCAGAAAAGCTTACAACCAAATCACTATATCTTTGCAAGTTTACCGAAGGCGGCATATTTTTAATAAACTGCAACAAATTATGATGTTCAGGATTAAAATATTTGTTAACATTATAAGAAAAATTTCTTATCTCGTTTTCTATTACAAAACTTTTTAAAACGTTAAAGGTAACATCAACGTTCTCATACTTTCTATTCCTAAATAAAAACGTTTTCAATCCGACATTTCTAAAATTGGCCAGAAAGGTTTTCAAGCTTTTCCGATCAGCTGCAATACTCAAATCCAAATATTCTAAAGAATTTGATAATACAGAACCTAATCCACATAAAAACTTTGAATTCATTTTCACATTCATGCCAGTTGCAAGCGTAAGATATTTAAGATGATCGTTATTACGATGTATCATTTTGTACAATTGAGAATTGTCATCATGATAAAGATTAGCCAAACAAAGGAACTTAATTCGATTGCAATGAATTATGATACTTTCATAAACTCCACCTGAAGCACCTTTAAGAAATAAATCTAAATGCTCGAGGTATGAACCAGCCTTTTCAATCAATAATTCAAACCCAGTTGGTTGACCATACACTTTTAAAGATTTAAGTTTTAATGGAGTTGGTGTATCAAGTAATGGTTGGAAAAATTGAGGTTTAATCCATTTACATTGAATGAAGCCAAGAAATCTAAGTTGTGTAAAACCATTAAGTTCATTAAATGTGTAAACATTTTGAAAATCGCAACGATAAAACTCAATTGAAGTTAAATTATTATTGTAATAGTTAAAGGCGTCTAATGAAATGTTAAATTTCAAAAGGTGAATTTTTGAATTCGTCTCATTTGTCAAATTTTTGCTTCTAGAAATATAAGAAATATGAAAATGTTTAACTGAAGGTAATGAAGAAGGTAAAGATGTTAAAAGTAATTCAAGTTGAGGAAATTTGGAAACTAGAGGGTTCGCAATAAAACCAATGCCAAACTTTTCGACATTTGACACAAATGTTGCATTATCAAAAATCAATTGAAAGAAATGAGGTAAATAAAGACCATGAGAAGTGGTGATTTTCATATTCAATACTTTTAAGGAAGCGTTATTGATTATAAAAGATTTCAATAAGAAACTACAAATCATATCAACCAATCTTTTTAATTTTGAATCATTATTAACGATTGATAAAACTTTCATTTCATTATCAAGAAAGATTTTATCCGATTCAGCATTGCTTATGGAAAGAGATGATATAGGTTCAAGATTATTTACCCAATTAATTGCATGCGATTCCATTCGAAATGTATCAAGTGTTTTAATAAAAGAAGGATAATTAAATAAAGGGTTTGAAATAACTTTGATTTTAGTTTCAAATTCTATAAACTCTATATCTGCTATACTAAAAAATTTAAAGTAAACTTCAAGGAAGTCGAAACGTTTTCCATTTAGCCATTTCAAAGCAAATGGATTCTCCCATAGTATCGGAATAGTCACACGACATAAAAATCGATTGACCAAAATACATGAATAAAGTGATTTTAAATCATATCGTAAATATTTTATAACAAATTGTGTCAGTTCTGGTAAATCACCGGAAAGCATTTTTGTAATTGACATGGTTCGAAAGAAAGTAAGGGAGGAATAACGAAAATAAGAATTAATAACGAAAAGGAGTGGATCTTCACATGTTTGGCGTAACTATGCATCATGTGGTCCCGGGTAAATTACAAAAATTACACAGCCACACAATAAGAATGTCGTCTCTATTATTACGTTTAAGAACTGGCGGAAATTCCATTCTATATATATCTTTTAATTACCAGTTTGTTTTTTTATAACGATAATTATCAAACACAAAATATATTTTATAATAACGTTTTACGTAAAATATACAAAAAAAGGCAATTTTATATAATAAAGTTGGTAATGTAAGTAGTATATAATTAGAAGTATTAATTTGTTTTTCCTTGTTATAGAATTTTTGAAGTATTTATTGTATTTGTTTTTCGCTTGTCAATTTGGTCAATTAGGTCGGACATGTTTTATTGTTAGATATAGCCACAGATGCACTGTTGCTGTTGCTATAAGCTGTTTTATACTCGCGATTTTAACTTTCTTGTGCCACTTTTGTAATACTTAATTGCCATCATATCGATTTAAAAATTTTGCATTTCGTTGATCTTTTCTTTAGTTGATATTTTTGCTTTTGTGCGTGCGTGCCATGTGTATTGATTGTTTTTATACTCGTATACAGTTTTAAATGCGTAAGCGTAGTTTTTATGATCACAATGTGAATGTTTCGTATGATATTAATTTTCTATGATGCTGTTTGTAAAAATTGTGTATTTTATTCAGATTTATTAGTGTTACCACCCTTTTTACTGCAAAACGTCCATATAACCAGCTTTATTTAATAAAAATATAAATTTTGGTCAAAATATCAAATTTCAGCATAGGTATTATTTAAAAATCAGTTGATATGGGGCCTTTGCAATAGAAAGGGGAAACTGCCGGGAAAATCAATTTTACTTTATATACCAAATATGATTTTCAGGCCGAAATATGTTCAAATTTAGCATTAACAAAGTTTTTATTTTCCGGCAGTTTCCCCTTTCTATTACAAAGGCCCCATATTATTAAGTTTGTTTTAAAGTAAGAGATAGTCATTTATTAAAGCTGCTCAGATTATGTATATAAAATATCATATTTTTGAGTGAGTAATTCTCACAGATATAAATAGTAATTCGCCTTAATCATATCCTTTTCTCAAAACTCAAATGTCTCAATTTCTTTAACCAATACCGATAGTGTCTCAGATTTTCGATGAGTATGCAAAGAATAATAAGCTATATTGGAAACACAAAAAGCTAGTTAAAATAACAAATAATTGGATACCATTACCATTTTTACCTTAATAAAGTCATCTTGAATAGAAGAATTTTTTGAACTTTTAACTTGTAAAAATTTTCAGTTTTATATATGCAATAATAAGATAAGTTTTTAAAACTTATCTTATTTTCTGCTTCAAAGAAATGAAAATGAGATAGACAAAAAGTGAGCCTATAGAAAAAATACTTTATAAATACTAACCAATTTTGAAATAAATCAAGATTTTAAAATGTATAATAGGATTTATATGATAAGCAGTTATATTATTTAGTGCAGTATTCAACAAATTTACAAATTTGATAATATTATAATATATTATTTCTTTCAATATAGATGAGATTAGAAGCATATAATAATTATCATTTAGTTTTAAAAAATGTTTAGTATTATATTAGAATCTTTTATGTTTATCTGTTATATTTATAAATAAGAGTAAAGTTATATCAGAAAATTTTTTAAGGGATATATATTAATGAAATAATTACTTAACAAATATTGTTAATAATCAGACTAGTGATTAATATCAATGTGAATAATTAATAATAAATTATCATAATATAACTTAAATATTAAATATTAAAAATAACCTAATTGGATATATCTATTGAATTTATTTATATTAGATTTTACAGATAATTATAAATATTTAATATTAATATTTTATTATAAGTATTTCATTTATAAATATATTACATTTTAAATAATAAAATAACTTGCTATTTTCTCATTTTTAATTTTTCAATCTAAATTTAATATATTAATAATTATTTTCAATTTATTAATTAAAGAATAATAAAAAAATTAAATAATTATCATTATTGATATATATTTATTA